CAAATGAATGATTCGGTTAACCTTTGTATTTCAGCAGTACGATTGCTCACAAAAACAACCCATCTGGAAGAGTGTGCTGACAACCAGCATAACACAATTTCCGAATCCGTCCATAAATTTATGGATTCAAATTTAATGGCATTATTGAAAATGACTATAACCTTCTCAACGAGACGTGCTAAAAGTAATGCACCACATAATTCGAGTCTGGGTACGCTAATAGCCTTTACAGGGCTAACTCTGGACTTGGAACAAATCAAACGACTAGAAACTGTATGATCTGCGTATGTTGCGCGTAAATACACGCAAGCAGAATATGCAAGTAGGCTTGCGTCCGCAAAGCCATGAAGCTCGACGGTTAGAATCTTTTTCTTCAAAAGTAAGCATCGTGGAACTTGGACATTTTTCAGGCAAGGAATTCTTGTGAATAAATCCAACCATTCATCCAATAAGTCGGGCGGAAGCTTGTCGTTCCAGTCCAGCTTCCTGTTCCAAATTTTTTGCATAAAAATTTTCGCGATAACAATGACTGGACCAAGGTAACCACAGGGATCAAACATCTTCGCAATGTTGGACAGCACCTCACGCTTTGTAAAGCATTTCTGGGTTTCTAACGCGGGTAAAGAAATACAAAATTGATCCTCGGATGAGTTCCACTTTAAACCGAGAACCTTGTTTGAAACCTGCTCCATTTTTATGTCAAGCGTTTGAGAAGACAATTGAGAATTAGAGGTTTTAAGGACGTTTTGTGTGAATTCCTTTGAATTCGATGCGAACTTATGAAGATAAAATCCAGCTGAGTTTAAAAGAGCATTTAATTCAACATAAAGTTGATGCAGTTCATCTAAGGATTCCTGAGAAGCCAGGACATCGTCGACGTACGTTTGAAGTAAAAACGCCTGTGAAGCTAGCGGATAGTCAGATTTTTTAGAAACAGCAAGTTCACTTAAGCAACGAGTTGCCAAGAAGCTTGAACTATTCAAGCCGTACGTAACTGAAGTAAGTTCAACGCATTTTAGATCTTCAGTGGGGTGATCCCTCCATAAAATGTTTTGGAGAAATGTTTGATTAGGATTGATTTGGATATTCCCATACATTTTTTGAATGTCAGCTATCAGCACATAATTGCGAACTCTGAATCTGAGCAAAATGTCAAAGAGGTCAGACTGGACGGGAAAACCCTTGAGAGTTATATTGTTAAGGGAGACTCCTGATGATGATGTCATAGAACCGTCGAAAACCACTCGCAACTTTGTGGTGGTGCTCTCTGGTCTTAACACTGGATGATGTGGGAGAAAAAATTTATTTTCGTTTTTCTCATTTTTTATTGTGAGGGGAATTATTCTGGCATGATTCAATGCTATGTACTCATCAATGAATGATTTGTATTCATGAAATAAACTCTGATTTTTCTCAAACCTTTTTTCTAGGAGAAAAAATCGTCTTTTGGCTTGCGCAAAGCTATCGCCAAGTTTTAGGTGCTCGTTGGGACTCTTGAGAGGAAGATTAACTTGGAATTGACCATTGGGAAGTCTTAGGGTTGTGTCTTTAAATATTTGCTCACAAAGTTGATTCTCCGGAGAAGGAATAGATTTTGTATCAATTTCCTCTAGTGACCAAAATCTTTCCAAAAGATCACTAGTTTGAGAAATACGAGAAAGCATACTGACATTGTTAGAAATTACAGAGATAAACGATAATGTTTGAGAAGGATTTTGGATGAGACCAATTTTTCCCCCGACTATGAAGCCTAAATGAGTATTAAATAGGGTAGGTCTGTCTTTGCCCAAATGAATCATACCTGGAACTAATAGATCGTAATAGATATCTGCTCCACAGAGCATGTCAATTTTTGCGCTGCGATAAAAGCGAGGATCCGCAAGGGTAATGTCATTAGGAATCCCGAGGTGTTCAACGCTGAGTGTCACTTGTGGAAGATTGATGGTTATATTGTCCAAGATTGCACAGGATATTTGAAATTGTTTTTGTGGATTCGAGTGAGAGTGAAAGTTTATGTTGATCATTTGTGTGGAGCTGATCGAACTGTCAGAAACTCCGGAGATTTGTAAGGACTTGAAAAATGTTTTTAAGCCTAGTTTTTGAACCAATTCCTTGGTGCAGAATGATGTTTGAGATCCACTGTCTAAGAGACACCTTGCCTGGATAGGCTCTCCACAATAGCTATAAATTGTGACAATTGCTGTTGACAAAAGAACATGATCCTGTTGTTTTGAAAATGCTGAAAAGCTAGTGGTATTTTCGAAACTGGTGTTGTAATCAGGGTTTTTATTACTATCTGAGACCAACATGGAATTTTGATTCTTGCGATTTTCAACGTCACTACGAGGTTGATCGCCAGATTGTGATCTATTTTGGTTGCTGCAATGAGCCGAGGTACTGTCATCATTACGAGAACTGTCCAATGTGCGCGTATTTTCGTTGTTTGAGCGAGAATTTGAATTATTACTTCCGAAACGATTATTATTATTGTTATTAAAATTTCTCTCCGAATATCTTCGATGAGAATTTTGAAAATTTGAAGAAACCTGACAACCATGTAACATTGTGTGATGTGATGCCCCACATACAATGCACCGATATTTTGATGGCAATTGTTAATATTGTGATTGTTTAAACAATTTTGACAAAGATTGTTATTAAGTACAAATTGAATTTTATTATTATTTGAAGTACCTTTAAATTTTAGACACCTATAAATGTTGTGATTGTCCAATTTGCAGTAGGTACATTTTTGAGTAATGTGCGTCATTGGTTTATTGCCATCAGAAGAGCTTGGCGTACTTGAAAGGTATGATAATTTTTTGACTGGTTTTGGGCTGTGCTTAATTGCAATTGAATTTGACGGAGTTAGGTCCTCCAAAACACGGCAATGTTTTTCTAAAAAGGACAAAAAATCTTCTAAAGTTGGCAGTATTTTCATATCGCGTTGTAATCTATATGCCTTTCGTATATTGAAATCTAGCTTTCTAGAAAAAATGTGAACTAATATTAGGTCACTTTGTTCGATGGGTACGCCAAGATTTTTTAAAGCACTAATATTTTGCTTTACAGTAGTTAGAAAGTCGCGTAAGTTATCTTTGTCAACCTTGGTTAAACTTGGTAAATTTTCAAATAAATTTGACAAATGAGCATCTATAATTGTGTATTTGTCTTCGTATCGCTCTCTCAACGTGTCGAGAGCGATGTCGAAATTTGTTTCAACCAGCTGCAGCTTGTCAACTAATTTGAGAGCTTCGTCTCTTAGATAACTTTTTAAATAAATTAATTTTTGGAGATTGTCCAGTTGAGAATTATTAATTATCAATTTTTCAAATAAGTCATGGAATGATTGCCATTCTGAAGATACGCCGCTGAAAGGGTTTATTGATATGTCAGGGAGCTTGAAATTAATTTGAGGCAACACTGGAGGTTGCTGAGAAACTTTGAGTTGAGGAGAAACTTGTTGAAGACCTTGTAAGAATTTTACCTGCGTATTAATTAACGATATGGCGTCTAAAATCAAACCTTCTATGTCTTCATCATCAAGGTCTTGCATGGGCGTGTCTTCAGTTTGAGAGGTAACAATTTCCTCTTGAATAGAGTTAAATGTTTGCAAAATATCTTTTAAAGCAGTTTTACGAGTGCTAAGCTTTTCAATATCAAGTAAATTGTCATTAAATTTTAACCAATTTATAATTCTTGTAAGACGGCCTTTGCAATGACCTTTTTTGCGTATAAGTGTTTCCATTTTTACTAAAATACTTGCTAATAACTATCAAAAGATAACTTATTAACAAAAATTTGAAAATATAAAATAATATAATAGGAAAAATTTATATTATTAAGTTTTAACTAGAAAATAGCGACACTTTATTTTAATTGTTTTTTGAAAGAAACACTTTTGTCTAAAACAAATTGGTATAGTACCTAATTGAGTCTCGAATTGAGTCTTTGCTGCAAGAACGTAGCACTCGTAGGTATTGCACAAGTAAAGTTCAAAGTAAAATTGGAATTTTCTCACCCAATTTTCCAGCTCTTCGAAGATTTCCAAATTGTACGATGAAGATTTCCAATGTGGAGGTTCAAATCCGGATCGAAGCTGACCATTAAATGTTGTGGTTTCCAACATTTATTTATTTTTCAAGAGTAGAATCTGTGGTAGAAGCTGCCAATGCCGTGCTAATTCTTGTTCGTAAATCCAGGTTCAAGGAAACACGATGGTTTGATTATGAAGTGTTTTTATTTTAATTTGAACGAAAAACGACTATTTACAACTATTTACAGAAAACAGGTAACAAATTCTGAAGAACATTGCATATTTAAATAAGTATATGGAACGTTCACTTTAACGCAAATAATTGGTTAATTAACAGCAATTAAACAATAGAAAACTGAAGAGAAAGAAAAGGTTGATTTCAGGCGCACGATCGGGCCATTTGGAGAAAAGAAAAAAGCGGTACAAAACAACCCTTGCAATTCGTTACGATCTCTGACTAGAAGTGAGAACTCAAGGCAAACAAAAACTTCGACTTCGTAGGTACTCTCCACCTCCAGTCTTGACCTACTTTTGCGATGCGTTTGGGCATACGCACGTTCCCTTGAAAATCGGGTAGAAACGTAGAAACAGAAGATTATAGTAGGAATAAAAATATAAAGAAATTTAACTTTAAATACAGCGGCGGCGGCAGCGGGTTGAAATGAAATTTCAACAGTTACTATAGACTGCGGAGCAATAAAGTTTGTCCCGATTCAGAACAAAGAATAACCACAAAATGTAGGATAAATTATATTTAATTTTTTTTTGTAGAATCTCCAGCGCAGCAACTTCTCGATATTTGCAAAATTACTGTTACCTATTTGATCTTCAACTAACTTGAAAGTAATTTGGCTGCTAATGAATTATACACAGAAAAAGATAATGCCAGAATACCACCATTGCGACAAATCCCTTTCTATTCCAGATGAAATATATTATCTAGCAAAAATTTAAAAAAACTTACTCTATCAATACTAAACAATCCTCCAGCCATAGTAGGACTCCAAACCGGCTCAGCAGTGTCCTTATGACGTTGTCTTTCATGTTGAGGCACCGCGTGCCAATTGAATTGCAAGTTCCAATCGAACCCGCCCACGTTGACGCCGGTACTATCGTGATAAACGTAGGCCAAAGTGGTATCGTCAATGACGTCGATTACCGGACACACCACGTTGGTCGAGTTACGAGCGATACGGTCCAGTAAGGGCTCCAACCAACCCTCGGTGCATTCGCAATGCGAATCCAGGTAAGTGAGTACCTCGCCTTTGGCGTGTTCGTAACCTGAAAGATGATTTAGATGTTTAGATATGCATCGGGGTCGTTTAAAGGATTTATGTGTTCCGCCCTTAAAGAGAATAGGAAAAAACAGTTATTTCTCGGTTGAAAAAAAAACAATGTATTCGTGTCGAGCAGATACATGGAAAATCTTTCCAACTGCGACATGAACCGATAACGGTCACGCACCGATTAATAATGAAAATTTTCATTTTTGTTCCTATGTTATTAGTGGAGGAAATATATTAGTTTTTCTTGGCTATTTGTGGACAAAGCATTTTTCAAATATATTAGACGAAGATAAAAGATATTATTGTCAACTAGTACAACGAAAACCAATTAAGTAGAACATAACTCCAGAGGGTCCTTATTCTTGAAACAGGGAAGCAGCGTTTCCAGGAGAACGAGTGTTCCATCTTTGTTACTTATATTATCATTTGCATATCATTGAGAAAGACGGAACACTCGTTCTACCAGGAAAGTTGCTCCCCTGTTTCAAGAATGAGGACCCAGAACAGTTCGAGACAAAATATTAAAAACTTAGGTAACTACTCTCTTTCCTCACGCTCCAAGGAGCAGATTGTAGATTGCATTTAGAGTCGTTACAGCTTGTTCCAGCCGCTCAAGCACTCCTACCTTTCCAGATATGTTATGCGCGACTCTGCTTCTAATTGGTGTTCAAAATTTGTAGGCTACCTCTTGTGGTGTCAGCCGTAGCTCTTCAAGGTATTTCAGCCTTTTGCAGAAATGAGCAAGGCACGCACTGATTAAATGTTCTCTAGTTTCTGTTGCTTGTTCGCAAGATCTGTAGTGGTCGTTATCTGATTTGCCTATTGTTTCTAGATGATATTGCACCAGCCAATGCTCTATTATAATGTATCTTCTGTTCATATAGGAATGAAGTTTTGTCGGTTACAACGACCGAAAAGCGTGGATATTGAAAATGAAGAGAAAGTTAAGGGTGGCTATACATTCCTTCCTACATTCTATAATAATCAAATATACACATACATTCGCGCCCTTCGGGGTTAACGCTTAGACACCGGTCTAAAGCACCTACACATAATTCTTTCCCGCTGTAGCAAGTGCCTTGTCTGGTTGCAGCATCCCATCCTCAACAGAACAGAACAAAGAAATCGGTCCGGATATCAGCAGATAGTAGCAAAAAAGGAAACAAAAAACACCAGGTCCTGAAGTCAATAAGAAGAAGCCGGGACATACTTACACAAAGAGGAGAAAAAAGAACAGATAACCAATTGCAGTAAGCAACATCCAAAATGGAAGAAGCCAACGAGCTCGCTAAAGTACAAGAACCTTGGATAAAAAGTTAAAAACCCTATATTCCAATTACAAAAAGGAGCCCCATGAGAGAAAAAATGAACAATATTTTCTCAGAAAAACAGCTGAACTTGAGTCCGTTTGGGAAAACATTGAAGAACACCATAAACAACACAGGTCATAATTAACCTGGTTAATTATGATGAGACCAGCAATAAACGGATATAAATTGCGCCGCGATCCGCAGCAAAGACTAAACTTGAGCCAGTGCAAGTACCTCTCGTTGGGAAAGCTCCTCTGGATGCACGCCTCCCCAGTGCAAGTAGCTTACGTTGGGAAAGCCCCTCTGGGTATCTTCAGCCTTATCGTCGTCCAGCGCCAGTACGTCTCGTTGGGAGAGCTCCTCTGGACAAGGCATAAGGGTGAAAATAACTAACCAAGAGTCCCCCAAGCAGCATTGAAGTATGGCTCCCTATAAGGACCCCAGTGTTGGAAGGGTCATGCATCCTATAGGACTAGCATATATTATGTAAGGACATATTTGGGAAAATATATATCTGCACTTTTATACATCCTGAGCGAATTTGTCTCGATCAACCCCCAAAGCAACAAACCCCCCATGTCACCCCCGTAAAACGGGTATAGTTCTGTAATATTTGGTGGAGGCGATAGGCAAGAAGCAGCAAAAAGTACACCAAAGCCAGCAGAAGAAATTACGCCATTACTACAAATATACACAAAAGCAGGAAAACAAGAATACAAAATAGGAGTAGCAAAGAATTACACAATAAAACCGTGTGAGGAGATAATGGTAGACTTAAAATCATGGGAGATACAAGTAAAATGACAGAAAACATGGGCTATAGTTGTAAATACATCCTGGATGGATTGGCGAAAAACCAGATCAATATAAAATCACATCTTTTTGGGGGCGAAAACAACCTTGCTATTAAATTAGAAGCCAAAAAAAAAATCTCAATGACTTTATTTGAGGGAACCACAATAGCAAGCTTGGAAGAGGAAACACAGGAAAATCACTCATATAATTTTTTAATACAGGATGAAATAAATAATAATAGTGAAAGAGTAACATTAGAAGAACACAAGATAGAAAGTATTAAAGACGAAAGAACCAAGCAGACACTTCAAGAACTCCTTTTCGAATATAATGACATTCCGCCAAATCAGCAAAGAACATGGGCTGACTGAACATAAAATCGAAATAGAGAACGCCAAACCAATAAAAAGTCGACCATACAGAGTATCACAGAAAAAGAGGCAAATAATTGATGAACAAATTCAAGAAATGCTAGAGAGCAGTGTGATTCGTCCATGTCACTCACCATAGGCTAGTCCAGTAGTGCTAGTCAAGAAAAAAGATGGAAAAACCAGATTTTGTGTGGACTACAGAAAAATTGATAGTGTGACAAGGAAATCAACGTACCCATTACCCCAAATCGATGATATTCTATCATATTTAGGGGAGGCTTCCTACTTCAGCACCTTAGATATGTTTTCGGGTTACTGGCAATTACCTGTCGAAGAAAGCTCTAAACCATACACTGCACTTATAGCACAAGGGCATGGATCTTACGAATTCAGCGTACTAGGCTTCGGGCTATGTAACGCTCCAGCAACCTTCCAAGAACTAGCTGATAGAGTCTTTTGGGACCTAAAATGGAAAGAAATATTGATCTACCTGAACGATATAATTATCTTTTCCAAAACTATAGAGGAACATCTGAAAAAACTAAGAAAGGTTTTTGAACGACTGCGTTCCAATGGGGTATTAGACAGGAAGAAGCACTCAAGGTTCTCAAAGACTAAGGCATTTTGACCCAAATGAAGACACTATCTTACACACTGATGCATCGACATGCGGAATCGGAGCAAAACTATTCAATTAGCGAATTGGAGCTATTAGGAGTGGTCTGGGCCCTAAGCTACCTGAGTCATCTAATATACGGCCGACCAGTGAAAATCGTGACATCACCACGCGCTTTGCTGGGTGGATTCAATAAAGGAAAGCAACAGACGCTTAGCCAGGTGGGTACTCAAGCTAGCAGAATTCGACTATACAATTGTTTAACGCATAGAGATGCTGATTGTATGTCACGCAACCCAGTACAGAACAGAGGAAATCTATACGTTACAGAAAAATGACCAAGAGATGAGACAACTTAGAAATGCAGTAGAGAATCCAGAGGACCCAGACATCAACATAGGCATTTGAAAAAGAGCAAAGAATTTTAAAGTCGAAAATAACCTACTGTATAAAATTAATAAAACGCAATGAGGCTTAGAGAAAGTTCTAGTTATTCCAAAATCAATGAGAAGTGAAATCCTGTGGGAACTCCATACTTCGCCAACGCCCGGATATTTGGGCTTCAGCAAAACAACGGATAAAATAAAAAGACGATTTTTTTGGGACGGAATGCTGAAAGATATAGAAAAATATATTAAGAGATGCCAAGACTGCCAAGCAAGAAAGGCCTTATAGAAATACCCCAGGGTTTTTACAACTAATCCAGGTGAGGACGATATTTGATAAAATAGTGATTGATTTTCTAGGCCCGTTCAGAAGAAGTAATCAAGGAAAAACGATGTTAGGAGTGGTTACAGACTATGCATCAAGATATGCCATCACAGCCGCCCTACCAGATCAGATGGAAAAGCAGGGCCAGTTTCCACTGGAAAGAGTATTCTTCATACATGGAATGCGAAGACACTTACTGAGCGACAGAGGAAAAGTATTCCAGTCAGATATAGTCAAGGAATTGGGTAGAATAATGGGTATAAAAAGCCAGTTCACAACGGCCTACCACCCCTGCTGCAACGGTCTGACAAAGAGACTGAATAAAACAATAGCGAACATGGCATTTATGTATTGCGACACGCACCAGACAGACTGGTGTAGCTACCTACCGTTTATTACATTTGCATGCAATACAGGATACCACAAAATTAGGCCCGTTCATGCTAACTTATGCCAGAGAGCCCACATTACCTGCGGAAGCTACGCTAATGGAGGCTGAGGAAGAAAAAGACTCACTCCAAATAAGGGAAAAGGCACTCTCGAAAAGAGCTATAGCGGTGGAAAACAAACAGAAGAGACAAGGGAAGGACAAAGGACGTTTTGATGAGAGACACAGAAACATAGAGTTTGAAGTGGGGGACAAAGTTAAGGTGATTATCCCAAAATGGAAAATTGAAAGAAGCGAGAAGCTGCTTTTGAGATGGTTTGGACCATACAGGGTTCTGAAAAAAATGAATGGGTAGTAAACTATGAAGTAGAAAAAATTGGAAATAGAAAATAAAGTAAGGATACGGTCCACGTGAGTAGGATGCTTCCCTACTACGATCCATGGACAGAAGCTGCGCCTATTGAAGAATGGGCTGAGGAGGCAGTTATTGCCGCAGACGCAGAATCTGAGGATGAAGGAGAAGAGGAAGGAAGTGGGGAAAAAAATTAAGGCAGAGAAGCCGAAAACGAAGGAGAAGAAGACTAATTATATAGATAAAAGATAAAACATAGCCTGAACTATAGGGTAGGAAAATAAAAATAGGTTAGAAAAAATAGGGTAAAATATTAGCTAGAGAGTATACGATAATCGCCAGAGAAAAAATGGAGAGAAACAGTAGCGCAAGATGATGAAATGCCTAGATAAAGGAAAAATAGAGTGTAAAGTAATGAAACAGATGGAGGAAATAGCTAAGGCAGTGGACAAAGAGCTAAACAGCCCAAATAACGATGGGATTGCTACCCGCTTGAAAAAATCAAAGAAGTCAAAGAGAGCAATCACCCTGTCATTCATAGCTGACGGACTTAACTGGTGCTGCGGGGTGGCGACACAACAAAAACTAGACTCTTTAGTCATGGTCACGGATTCTTTAACGTCAAGACTAGACTTAGTAACGCAAGGAGAGCTTGAATCAACGATTAAAATTAAAATAATAGAAGAACAATCATCCCATATGAAACAATCTCAAGAAGAAACAGCGGCGGCTCTAAAAACAACCGAATAGAAAATCAAAAACCTGGAGAATTTTGTAAAAACGATCGGCAATGAGTTTTTGAAGGAAGAGGCAATAATAATGAGTTTGTTACGAATCGACAAAACACAGGTCATAATTAACCTGGTTAATTATGATGAGTATGTAACGGACGGATGATGACCAGTAATAAACGGATATAAATTGCTCCGCGAGCCACAGCAAAGGCTAGACTTGGAACAGTGCAAGTACCTCTCGTTGGGAAAGCCCCTCTGGATTCACGCCTCCCCAGTGCAAGTAACTCTCGTTGGGAAAGCCACTCTGGGTATCTTCAGCCCTATCGTTGTCCAGCGCCGGTGCCTCTCGTTGGGAAAGCTCCTCTGGACAAGGCATAAGGGTGACGATAACTAACCGACAGTCCCCCAAGCAGCGTTGACGAGTGGCTCCCTATAAGGACCCCAGTGTTAGAAGGGTCATGCATCCTATAGGGCTAGCATATATGTAAGGACATATTTAGGGAAATATATATCTACACTTTTATACAACCTGAGCGAGTTTCTCTCCATCAACCCCCAAAGCTACAAACCCCTATGTCACCCCCGTAAAACGGGTAGTTGTGACAATACTTCTCGGGGTCCAAGAATATGCCTAGTTAATCTTGGAAGGCATACGAAAAACTGAAGATGGTCTCTTTGGCCAACAAACAAAATTATGGATTCTTTCCGGAAACCTACCAAAAAATTCGGGAAACAAACTACAAGTTGTCAGCATGGTAATATGTATTGAAAAAGACAGACAATTAACTAAATTTTGGGAAGTTGAAGAAGTTTCACAAACACGTCCGTTATCAGAAGATGATCAATATTGCGAACAACATTACGAAGCCACCACTACAAGAAATATAGATGGAACATACACAGTCAAAATTCCATTTGATGGAAAAGAGAATCTAGTAGGATCTAGATCACGAGCCTTCACACGACTAGTTCAATTAGAGAAAAGAATGAGTAGTAACAAAGAATTGGACATCGCCTATAAGGAATTTATGCAAGAATACCTAAACCTTGGTCACATGGAAATGTTTCCACATACAGAACTACAGCATCAATATATTATCCAACATCAACCGGTATTCAAAAAATCCAGCACTACAACAAAGTTGAGGGTGATCTTTAATGCCTCCAGTAAAAGTTCATCAGGATTGAGCCTCAACAATACCATGTATGCAGGTCCCAGACTACAGCCAGAACTGTCAGATATACTGCTATGCTGTAGGATCACATAAAGTAGTGGTAACGACTAACATTGAAAAAATGTACAGGCAGATAAAGATTCACCCTGATGACCTGAAGTATCAGAAAATCTTATGCGGATTTGATAATAACACACTAATTAATGAATATTGCTTAACAACTGTAACCTATGGAACGACAGCAGCACCATTCTTAGCTATTAAAACGTTGCAAAAGCTTGCCCACGACGAGAGCTGCAACTTTCCGAATGCATCCAAAGCAGCAATGAAAGATTTTTATATCGAACACTTGCTATCAGGTGCTGACACTATAGAAGAAGCTCTGTCACTACAAGACGAACTCATCAAAATGTTTGAGCGAGGATGGTTCACGTTGCCGAAATGGTCCAGCAACAAACCAGAGTTACTACAGAAACTTCCAAATGAACCAAAGATCAATCAACCATGGAAATGACTGAAGATGACATAAGAAAGTCTCTAGGTATCCACTGGGTGTCATCAAAAGTTCAGTTACCACTTCTTCCGATGTGGAGCACACAATAGATTTTGTCAAAGTTGCATTTTTTGTAGATAAATAGTTGTTAATTGTTTAATAAAAATCAGATTTAATCCAACAGTGATTCTTATTTCCCAGTTACCAAACTTCCCGAGTGTACTAACCCACCCTACAAACCACAAATAACAAACTACCAAGGGTTCTGAGCATCCTCCTAAATTCCAATACCAGATATTCACATTACGGATGGCCTGTGTGCATCAGGAGTGACTATTCTTTCGCTGAAAAAGGCGAGAGTCGTCGGCAATGACCAGAGGCTGCTGAAAAAGTCTTCGTGAGCGTCGTAGACAATGATCAGGGACTACGAAAAAAAATGACTATGGGGTTAGAAAGATGGCGGAAAAATTGACGTCACAGCGAAAGAATGGTCACTCCTGATGGACACAGGCCATTCGCAACGAATGGCCTTGAAAGTGGTCCCGTGGTGGTCTTGCTTTACTACTTGCCATGATATTTGAATTACTACACCATTTTATAAGTTCTTGGTCTGTATTATTTTCAAATGGGAAATTTCAGCAATAAAATATACACACTTGAATAAGTTCGAAAATTGAAATTTCGATTTAGTTAAAACCATCGCAACTTTTCACTCACCTATCAATCTCGCCCTTATAAGTCCAAGTCTCTTCGGCGCTCTCACAATCTTAACTTTGGGTTCGTTGGAAAAATAGTCCTCCAACTGTCCTTTCAGATGATCCATGTCGGAGAAATCGTCTACCAAAACGACTTCTTCGATCAGTCTCTCGGGCGATCGGTCTAGGACCGAGTGTACTGTCCTGAGTAACACTGACCACGCTTCGTTATGGAAACATATAATCACTGAAGTCTTGGGTAGGTTTTCTAGGAAACGACCTGGCTTTTTACACCTGGAATAAAATAAGTGGGTTGGGATTTATCGTGTAGTGTTAAATAGTGGAAACCGATTGTTTTCACTCTAGCTAGTTTTTTTTAGAGTCCAAATGGAACCATAGAAGTAGATATGTGTAATTATTGCAATGCTTTCTGTTATTCCAACTTGTGAAAACTCCATTCTACATTTTAACCCTAATGATATCTGGAACTTGTCAATAATTTTTCGAATCTTTTTATTAATTTTGTCAGTAGGTATTCAATCTCATTAACATATCTTTAGAATTTCTAATGCCTTGTCTTTTCTGTGCCCCTTGATGAGATTTGGAGATGAATTTCAAATGATATTATTTCATGCTGAAGGGTTACTTGAAACTCAGGGATTTATTTTAAATCTTTCATAATTGGATTTTCTTAAGAATCGTCATCAAAATAAATAAATAATGAGTTGCTTCAAGTTCAGGACATATATTATATGAAGAGCAAAATAAAACTCTTTAAAGTTCAATTTTTTAGTCCTTGTGAAACAAATCTTTTGTGCCCGCAAACAAAACCTTTCGGTTTCCTTGAGCTCTAAATAAAAATCCAAAAGCAATATACTTTAGTCCCAAAATTACAGGAATTTGCAAGAATAAGGATACCGGAGGCCTGGTCGCTTCTGTCAAATATACGAATAAATCTTTAAGTGGAGCCTCTCCGCCATCAGGCCTGTCCTTAGGGATAAGATGTTTGTCAACTCCTTTCCTATATCAGGGCGCCGTTCACTCCTGGCCTCGCTTTAATTTAAATGCAAATTTTCTGTTTTTCCTTTTAAAAGATGGTTTTGGAAAACTTCTGCTCGAGACGCGCCCGGCCTTTTGAATTGGATTAATTAAAAAATGGTGTTTTTACGGATAATTTTGCTGAAATATTTTAGCTATAAATATTGTTACGGTAAATTTATCATTTTCGTAACTATAAATTTGTATTTTCGTCATATCAGATTCATCAAAACAATAACTATTAATAATTTAAGTAATTTGAAAAGTATCCACTAAATTTAACTAATTCAATATAATATCAGTATTGCCATCTATTCATAAATAAAATGAGCGTAAAAATGCAAATATCTGGTACTAATAGAAGTACTAACGTACCGCCACACTAGTAAATTTATTTTAAAATTGTGGTACCTAGGTTTCTTTTACTATTTTTCTTAATTTTCATTGATATTTGACAACCTTAATTTAAATCATTATAATTTGTAAACAATTAAAATAATTCTAGTGTGTTTTTATCTATTCCCATTTAATCAGCGTGGAGTTTCATTGATGAAGTAAACACGGTATCTTTTTTGTGTGTTGAGTGTTGTTTGAGTTTTTAAAAGGCCTCGTCTCTGACAGACAGCTGAACAGGCAAGTAGATTTTCACTTTGAAATTTTTTTTCCTTCAGATTTCTAGATTTTCCCTTAATATTTTTTGTTTTATTTCACCATCAGTGTCTACTATTACTATTGGGTACTATTTTATCTTATCTACCTTTAAAATATAAATATTATATTTTAATTTTTTATCCATTGTGAACCTCCATTTTGTGTGGTAACAATATTAAGCAGCATTAAGTGATTCTTGTCATGGTTTAGGACTCGTACAATAAATCATAGATTATAAATAAATCAACAGAAGTTTGCTCATTATCCTCAACTATTCTCTGTCGGCCATCTGGTCAACTCAACAAATCCCAGCTAATTCGGGTTCGTCGAAACTTTGCTAGGGAAAGTTTCCAGTTTTTGTTAGACTTTGATGGAAGCGGAAGGATACTCGCGGTAGAAAAAAGAAACAGGATACGATATAAATGCTAAAATACAAGGGAATATGCCTAAAGTTGTGTCAAACTCAGAGGGGACGAATTTGCCAAAGCTTTTCCCTTCTAAACGAAATCGCATTAATTTCGAGGCTTATACCATTCTCTTGTCTTGCTGCGCCTTATTTTATTATCGTTTTCATAATTTTGGGTTCACGGCTCTAAATTTAATTGGATTTTGAATTATTATTAAAATTACTCGGCGGGGAATTTTGCTTTAAGCGTACCTACGTCTTTTGCGAAAATTGTTTGCAAAATGAACTATTACCAATGGCATAAAATTGAGCTGAATTCTTAATCTTCTTCGATCATGATAAATTATTGATGCGGCCCTCTTAAACCGGAGAAGGCTCTACTCAATCTTACCCTATTGATAAATTGACTTCGGAGTGAATTAGGTGATCAATTATTCTTTTATATTATAATAATCTCTTATGACTTTTAATATTACAATGAGAGCACCACACATATTAATATCACCTTGAAAGAGGTTTCTATTTAATTTAATTACTAACTCACCTGGAGAAAGGGGAGGTTTATAAAGGGGTGCTAAATCGCTCGCCCGGTAAAAATCTAATTAAAAAGCCGGATATCAAGATCAAAGAAAACTTGAAGATTCTCTTCAGAAAAAAAAAAATACGAAAGCAAAAATCAGGCTTTTGAAACGTTCGAAGCACAAATTAAACGGTTAGATTTTCTTATTTGCGAAACAAATTTTAATTAGGACGATCCGGATATCGACTTTTAAGATGCTTTTTGATAAATATTGCAAAATAAATAATTTTCTTTTACATTTTTACTCCCTTGTGGTCACTTTTCTTTTCCTCTTTACCATCCAAGCCAATTGAGGTAACGTGGGTCGGAGTTGATTAATAATTTTGTGAACTTTTGGAAAGTTTTGCATCTTATTGTCAAATTTATGCCCTGGGTTTTGAGTGTTTGCTTGCAACACAATTTTTTCTATTTTTCAGGATTTTCTCGGTTTGGATTGGTAAGTTAAATCATACCAAGAGTGGCTTTAATGGTGTAGCATGTGAAATGCTACTGTTAGTAATTGTTCCTTTTTCTTCCAAATATAATTTTATTAGTTAGATAATGTTGACAGTCTGCTGCTAGAGAGCATGATTTTCGTTTAAATTTGAAGTACCAGTTCAGTACCAACGCTTTCCGTTGGCGATTTTTTGATAGGAAGCGCTGCCTGTAGAGATTGTCCGTGTCTGCGTCCCATCTTAATCTTGCCGTTACCCTGAAAGGTCGACTCTGGCCTAGAGGAGCAGCCATCTTCCTCAAGTGTGAATACTGTTCTCGTGGAAAAAAGTACCTTATTGGCCATCAGGCACTATTTTAACGAAATAAAGTTGCGTAAGGCAATAATTCATTGATTAACAAAAAAATTATTATCGAAAGTCTTGTGATTACCGTTTTATTTGAGTTTGAATTTCGAAACCCCTCGTCGTTAATTTTTTTACAAGTAATGGTTGTTCATGGAATGCCTCTATTACTTAGGGTTTTTCCGGGGAGCCGTTTTTTCCGAGGAGCCGTTTCTCTCAAGAAACTCATTTTCAACAAGCCCTAAAGATCACCGTTTTCATGCAGCGTGGGGATAGAGTTTATGAAGTGATTTCCTAGAGGAATCCTGTCCCTCACATTTGACGAAGAAAACTGAACTTCTAGCCTTGATTCCAGGTTAGAATCTGCAACTTCCACTTGCAACTTTCTTCGTCAAGAGGCCAAGATTGGATGGCTACCGTGCTCTACATTTTTATTGGAATGGAGGCTTGTGTAGAGTTTCATTTATAACTTTTATTATTTATTTAATGAAATCTAATTTATGATCAATTAACAAAATCAATTGATTTTGTTTCTTCCTGATATGACATTTGAATATTTTATACTTTGAAATTATTCAATACTTGATTTTTTACGTCACCGTGAAATATACACTAATTTAATTTGAAACTTACTTATTTATTTTATTGGTTTACCTGTGTCAAGATTTGGTTGAGTTATATGCCTTATTTATTTCCTTTTCAGACCTATCAATTACCGTTAGCTGATTATTTTTTTTTAGGTGTGTTTCTGAATTTTCACCCTTCAATATTTTATGTAATTTAATAGTTTTTTTTTTTTTAATTCAGTGGCGTCCTTGCCATTCTGTACTTATTAAACTATTGACCCACCCCTAATAATTATTCGCTGAGAAAACCGAGCATATTATGGGCTTCTTGTTAATTCGTTAACAAAAGGGGTTACAATGGGCATTTCCTCGTTTAATACATTCCTCAAGAGATTGTGTTGTAGCGTTAGCCTCTCACAGTCCGAAGCATTGCCCACTAGACTAGTTAGCCGTATCTGTCCCCCAGAGACCTATGAAAGGCCTTTCCCCTGGGTACTCGTGTTAGCCAGGTTCCCGAGCAACGTTTGACGAGTCGCCGTTTGGTACTCACTTCCGTGAGTGGCTATACCACATCTCATTACACGCTTGTGCCTTTCAATCACGAACTCTGGTATCAGCACAGCGGCGAGCATTTTTACCGGTGCAGAAATGTCGTCGACCTAGCACCGTATTCCTTGCATTAAAGGGGGTGTGCGCCAAAAATTAAAGTTTTAGTGTGAAAAAATCTAAAAATAACTGTTCAAAGCTCGTTATTCTACGATAAACCATCGCTGAGATATACCGCTTTAAAGTGTAGACAACGCTCTCGTGACGTCACGAGAACTTCGTCCAGCCGCGCTCCGCAATGTTAAGTTGATTGTTCCCGGCACGCGTGAGTGGTTTTTGTTTAGATTATTGCAGGTAACACAGGAAAACATATGTAAATTTAATTAACTCCACTTTCTCGTGCGTCGTTTGAGCTTTCGTGACGTCATAGGGTTAGATGCGGTACCTTCATAGAGCCATATCTGCGGTATTATTTTTCATAGAGGGGTGCGGATTTCACTGTTATTCTTAGATTTTTTTTTCTCTTTTTTTTGAGATGAAGTTGTTTTTTTGGCGCACACCCCCTTTAAAGGGACTCACTAGGTGAGTCCGCTTTTCCTTGACAAGGTCCGGAATCGGAGTTTCCCCCTACTAACTTTTCGAAAACCTCAGTCATCCGTTACCTATATATACTGGTAGTCCCCAGAACATCGACCCTAAAATTTTGTACCTCATGTACACGCCAAACTTCC